CAAGGTGGGAAGTAGAAACTTTTGAGTCCGCCTCAAGCCACCTGAAAGCATCCCTGTTTCCTACCAGGATCACTTAGAACCCAGGCTTTTCTTCCATCTGGGGGGCTTGCTTCCCTGCAGAGTCCTTGGTGGGGCGGGGGGGTCTCTCACCGTGGCTCTGGGTCATTTGTTTACATGCAGAATCTTTCAGATCAGAGAAATAAGTACACTTGACTACTTCTCCTCCTGTGTGTCTGTTTTAAGAGAAAAATCCCTCACAAAATCAAGCAAACTAACAGCCAAAAGGAAAGAGGTTTTGATGGGTAAAGATTAAAATACTTTGATTTTTAAGCATAGGGCAAAAATCTACCATTTGATTTTTTTTCCCTAAAATACACTTTTTTCTGATTATAAAAATAATACATGTTCATTGTAAAAATTCAGGAAATAGGGAAAAGCTTTAAAATCACCCATAAACCCACAATCCAAGTTAACCTTGAATCACATCTTTTATGTCCTTCAGACTTTCTCTGCAAGTATATGTATTTGGGTCTCTGTATCTGTAATGAAGCTGAACAAATGTGAGTTTTTAAACTGCTGTTTATCACCTGAGTTATCCAGCCGTTAACATTTAAGATGCACTCTATCAGGGGCTCCAAGGGTCTCTGAGATTTTGAGATAAAATGAATGTTGTCTTGTTATTAAAAGTATTTCGGGATGCCTGGGTGGCTCAGTCCGTTAAGCATTCGACTCTTGTTTTCAGCTCAGGTCATGATCTCAGGGTTGTTGGATTGAGCCTCTCACTGGGCTCCGTGCTGGGCATGAAGTCTGCTTAAGATTCTCTCTCCTCCCCCGCCTCTCCCCTTACACAAAAAAAAAATTCATGAAGAGACTTCTTGTTTTGATGACAACAGCACGGTGGTTAAGTGTGCAAGTTACAGGGTCAGATTTTCAGGGCTGAACCCCCAGCTCTTCTGTCACTGGTTCGTGACCCTGGGGGTGCTAATGGTACCTGTGTTGTGGGGTTGTTGTTGAAGTAAATGAGTTTTAATACCTGTCGAGTGCCAAAAACAGTACCTGACCTACCCTAAGTGCCACGTGAGTGGGGGTAGTAGAATTATTACAGCTGCACGGCCAGTCCGAAAGTCTTGGATTTAAGACTTGTTTTACCTTTAAATCTCTTCACCACCCGTGTAAGTTACATGTTGTTTTAATATATTTGGTAGGCTTCACTAATGTTGGCCACCATCATCCTCACCATCTCTTCAAACAGCACCTGCAGGAAGTGTTCTGAACGTCAGAAAGGGGGTGATGGGTGCATTCCGAGTCCCGGGGAGGGGGCAGGTTTATTGTCCAGTGACTGTCTTGGATAACTGGAAAGCTGTTGGGGAGTAATCGGTAAACCAGAAGAAACTCTCGATGGAATTAAGGCAGTAGCAAACTAAAAGGTAGTATGCTTGAGCATTTTTCAATGTGAAGATGAGGAAGACTTTTCTAAGCCTGACCCTAAAGCAATAAAACGGAAAAGAAAACATCAATTGGCTTGACAGTACGTAAATAAAGGAAGTTAAAGTGAAACACTCTGTCCTGCAAAAGGACACCACTAACACAAGCCGGAGTTGGGGTGGCCCTCTGTGAGTCTGTCCATAAAAGCTGGGAGGAGGTCCTGAGGCCCCTCCTCTGCAGCGGTCACCCTAGCGGGCATATTGATTTCCTAATTAGGCTGTGATTTCACCTTATTGGCAGTGAAAGTGGCATCTGCCCATCCTGCCGGGTAATCCAGCCTGGTGACCAAGGGGGCTCATTCAGCCTTCACTACAAGGGAACTCCCTGCGGTTAGATAAACTGATCTGTTGCTTAGTAACTGCGGGATTACTCGGGTGGACCGGGAAGTGCATTCGAGAGGGGTTTGAGTATTTGGAGGGCAAGGAGGGCAAGAAAGTCGGCGAGTCCCTGGGAGAACTGCAGCTCGGCAGGAGAAGGAAGCAAGAGCCCACATGTGCCCGGCGCTGGCCTGGGTTGAGAACATTCCACCTTCCCATCTGTACTTTGCCTTCTCGGCCCTGGGTCTCAGAACAAAGGGACAGCAGACAGCGAGCTGGCCAAGGGGCAGGATGGGTTCTGCTGCTCCAACAGCAGGGGAGGCTCCTGCAGGGTGACCCTGAGGTCCACGTCCCGAGGAAGGGGTCTGGGTCTGAAAGTTCAAACCCCGCTTGCTCTCGGGGCCACCAAGAGCCTTGGAGTTTGGGTTTGGGTCCCAGGTTCAAAGCACATAGACTAGAATGAGATCATAAAATAGCTAGGACTTTTGAGATCACAAGCTCCAGGCTTAAGCAGGACCACCTCCGAGACGTACTTTCAACAGTGTCCTCTACCACAGTGTGGACTTGAAACTCCTTCGTAAACATGCCCCCTCGGTGGCACCCTGTAGCCAGCAGACGGGGCCTTCTGCCGCCAGGAACACCCAGCTGTGTGTGTCTGCCAAGGGACGGAGAGTGTGTGCGTGCATCTGCCTGCCCGTGCGGCGCCTCTGGGGGCACGGTCTCTGCCACCCCGGCTGCAGGGCCTCCGGGAGGGGGGCACGGGCACAGCGCCGGGTGCCCTCGGCCGGGAGTGTGCCGCTACTGCAGTCGGCGCTTGCCCTGTGGGCAGTGAGGGGTCAGTAGCCCCAATCGGATTCTGGTTATTTCCTTGTGCGTTAGCAGGGGCAGGAGCAGCCTCTGAGGCGGTAGAGCCTATGCTGGGAAGGATATTTTGACTGAAATTTTGCATATTTGAAACTCAGATTGTTACGTTTAAAATTATACACATTGTGAGTACCTGGCTTCAAAAGGGGAAGCAGCAGCATTTCTTCCTGTCAGAACCTTTTCACTCCGTCTGTCATGTAACCCGCCTAAAAATAAACTACAAGCACCAGAACTGGCAGCCTTCAGTTTGGAACAAGCTCTCAACTGCAGGCCTGGCTCCTGCCGCTTCCCAGCCCCACTCCGGCCCCCCAGGTGCGGCCCTCTGCCAGGATTAGCAGGCCACCCTGCGGCAGGACCCACGGAGTTAGAATGTGTGCCCTGTAGGAGAGGGGGGTGCAACCACAAATGCCCTGGCCTGCCTCCTGTGTGGCCTTGGGGGAGTCGCTTGGCACCTCTGGACCTCAGTTTCCTCGTTTTTAACTGATTGGCCAAACTCCACATGGCAGGGAGCAACCTGTGTGTCTTATTTAACCCTTAAAACACCTATGAGCTTTGTTCTAAGTGTCCTCCCATTGTTCAGATGACGAAGCTGAAGCCCAGAGAGCCTTGTTCCACGTCGTTCAGCGAATGAACGAGGTTCCAGGCCAGGCACCTCCATCACCCCCGCCTCTCCTCTTCCTCCTTGGCCATCCAGATTCGGCCCCTGTCCCCCTTGTGTGACCCCAGGACTCCCCCATGTCAAATTGTGGTTATTTGTCTCCCTTGATCCTGCTGGGCCTTCCTGATTGTTCGCCCCGGGACCAGCAGTCTGGTGGGAAGCACGTAGGCTTGAGTCCCTCTGACATGTGTTTGCGTCTCTGCTTCTGCACCTGTGAGCTTAGATGGTCCTGGGCAAGAATAGGTTCCTTGTCTGTGACAGGAGGGTGCTGTCACACCACCCTCATCCTGTGGAGATTATGTGAGATCATGAACCCAGGAAGCACTGTGCTCTGTACCCCTCACTCACTGACGCGGCCATGCTCTGCTGATAGACTCCAACCCTTAAATACTGGCTCCTTGTTATCCTCAAGTCTTCGTTTTCCCCAACAAAGGGTGACTCTATTTCCCCCCGTGTGTCATGGTAGAAAGCCAGGCTCTGCCGGTGCTGCGGGCTCAGCTGCCCCGCGCCTGCACCCCGCCCCGTGCACTGTGCCTGTAATTAGGCGTGGTTGCCTTAGCCTAGGTGCGACGTCATCACACAATTCTACAGCCTTTCATCATCTGTTTATTAGCACAACATTAGTTCTATTGCTAATTCTTGAGTTTTAAAGGAGTTCCGTTATGTTTATTTTGACCACAGCTTTAGTCCAGTTGAGCTCTGATTATTACAAAGGAAATGTTGTAACTGTAAGTCGCAGAGGGTGACATGTGCCTTCTGTAAGAACCCCAAGACACCATGTTACCCTAAGACCCTGCCATCGGGGGGTTGAGGGAATAGCCCACGTAACACTATGGGTTTCTGTTGTTGTTGTTGTTGTTTTGGCTAAAATCCTGTCTTAGGAAACATTTACTCTTCATTTTCATAATCATTCTTCCTGTGTACAATTGAACTTCTACAAATTTCTCCCTCCGATCTTCTGATCAAATGGTAAGGCTGCTGTCTCTTGAAAACAAGTTACTAGTATTCAACGTCTGAGATTGATTTTCAGCCTTTGGCACTTACTTTCCAAGTGGGTTGGGCAGGGAGACCCCCTTGAGCCGCACCCACGTCTGTGGTCCGTGGAGAGCCGCCATGCGGACACTGACCATGCTGCCCCAGCACACCCTGGCCTTGGGGTTTTCGAGGTCAGCAGTACTTACTGGAGTCTCCTCAGCCAGTGAAGAGGTGAATGTGACTGACACCCCAGCCTTCCCTGTTTGGCCCCGTTGGGAGGAGGCCGGTCACTTTGAGCTACGCGGGCCACACTTGCAGGGAGCCGCTCACCGCGAGCGTTGTTGAGTTTTAAGGCGGGTTTTTTCCTCATCCTTTGGCAAACTGCTGTATCACACACTTCATTTGCCATCAGAGTGTGAGTGTGTATCGTTCCTTTTTTTCCATGAAAACAACATAGAACAAAGCCTCACTTTTAAAAATGCCATGATATTTTGCCACCGTTATGAAAATCTGTCAGTGCCGTATCTAATCTTCTGGTGCATAGAATATCAAAACAAGCACTATTGAAGGGATTGTACTTCTGTTAATACAAAAATGTCAGTTCCACAGTCTCGGAAACAGCTGCTCTCAGCCTCTTTCCAAATGGGAAAGAAAAAAAATAATAAAGTTTCTTTTCCCCCTCTGCTGTTACTGTTCTTCAGGCCTGACCTTCATAAGAAGACCCAGAGTAAACACCGCCTTGCTGAAATCTTGCATTCCGAATTCTCAAGTGGAATGGAGGCCAGCGTCGCCAAGGTCAAAAAGCAAAACAAACACGCAAGAGCCCGGCAGCCAGCCACGCAGCACTGTCTGCAACCGGCGCCCAGCCTCAGCCGTGGGAAAAACTGAGAAATGCTCCCCAATGAAGCAGAAAAACCCAAAAAGACTTACTGGGGGACAACAGGACTTCCCAAAACAGTTTTCGTTTTTTTTGTTTTTTTTTTTTTAACTCTGCCTCCACGGGCCTGGGGCTTGGGGTGGATCCTGGAGGCCCCAGAGGCGGGGGCTGGTGTCCTGTCCTTGTCAGGAGCCTTGTGGGAAGGAACGGTGCCACTTTTCCCTGCAGACGGTGTCCCGGACCCGGAGAAGCCACAGGCCTCACCCGGCAGGGTGGGGCTCAGCGTCATGTGGGCGAGCCAGTTAGTTCTTACCTTCTGTGAGATAGCTTATACTTTGTGTTTCCTCCAGCAGAATCATCTTGGCCCAAGGGTTACAGGTGCCCCGGGGCCTCTGGTGAGGGCCTGGTGGTGCCGGCATCAGCAGGGAGGCCTCTTAGTGCCTCGGGACAGGGTTCTGTTTCCAGGTTTTCATTAGCTGCCTTGTATTGATGCCGGATTAGCGTGCGTCTTGTAAAATAGGATTGTAACGACTGGAATGCAGTTTGTGAGAGCGAGAAAAACCATGAGCTCGTTTTCTTGATGTACAAGTGCTTTGTGGAAAAGGGCCTGACAGGCTTGGGTGTGGGTTGGAAGGCTCCCGGGCCCTCCCGCAGGCTGCTCCGAACCCCGGGTGGCATTCACGCGCGTGGCTGCCTCGTTCATGGCCACGGGAAACTTCCCTCACGGCTGATGGATGTACTGGTGCCTTTTTTGTTTATTTTTGTTTACCACTGAGCCTTGGAAGTCAAAGGGCACCAGTCTCCCGAGTGTTTTCTGCCCCCGAATCCCACCTTGTCTTCAAGTCTGGGGTCTGGGGTTCTTTGTAGTGTGGCCCAGGCCTCAGCCGCTCTTCCCCCACTGTGTTTCCCTGGGCGGTTTGAGAGCCCCCCACACACACACACAACTCCCCACCCCCGCCCCTGGCGTACTCATTTCCCAATAAGTGTCCAATTGGGACGCAGGGGACTCCAGAGGGGAGTCTGCTTGGACAGGCGCTCTGTTGGCTCCACTTTCTCCTGTTTTCTTTCCCGCCTTCCTCCCCCTCCAGTTCCTGCAGAGGGAGCTGAGGCCCCACTTCAGTAAATCCTCCAGATCCCACAGGAACTAAGTGGCCAGGAGCGGACTGTGAGAGTTGCAAGGTGGGCCATCTCTGGGGCCCACGGAGGGGTCGGCGCCCTCACCTCTGTCCCTCTCTGGTAGCCAGGGTAGGGCAGTCAGCTGACACTCACACCAGAGGCCCCCGGGGAGAGGGCCAGCAGGAGCCCTCTGAGCACTAATCCTCCACAGGGGGACAATGTGACCTCCTCCGCACGGCTGTCACATACGAATTCATAGGGACAGTTGGTGAAATTTCTAACAATAATAATAATGATAATGATAAAGCCCTACAGCACATGTCAAGCTGACTTGGGGAAATCTGCCACCGTTCTTTTACTTCAGTGTGTAATGGTTCACAGGATTTGGATGAGAAAAGGAGGCATCAAACTTTAGAGACAAAACCCAGCTGTGTGAAAAACAGGATTAATGCCGGTGATGGGGAAGGATCAAAGAGAAGCCCTGCTCCCTGCCCCCCACCTCCCATGTACTCATTCCAAGAGAGGTCCAGTCCGGGTTCTGCATTCCTGGGGGAGCCATGCTGGGACCTGCCCTGCAGAGTGTGTAAAGGACCATTATTCCAAGGTGGAGCTTGTGCTTAATCTGCTAACGCTTAGGTGAGGAAACGTTTCCTGCCATGGATGCTTTGTGGGCCTGTTTCTAAGCAGAATCAATATATTACCCCCAGTTAATAAAGAAACATGGATTTAACAGATTTAGGGTTAATATTATCTAAATTTAAATAACCTTAAAATAAATCTCTTTCTCCTATTATGGCTCCTGACAGATTATACATTTCAGGCATCAGTTAGGCAAAGCTTTAGCCTAATTCCACTGTACATATTCTAATTTTGTGTGTATTTTTAATCGTGCCTCTTTTTCTGATTTCCCAAACTTACCTATTTCTCTGTCGCAAGCCTGATCCCCGTATTTTAAGTCACAGAGAATTTGGACATTTCATGGAGTGTTGCAGCCTAAAGCGTTTTCCCCTTGGCTTCTCGAATGCTTGTTTTGCATCCAGAACATCTTCGTGTTTGCAGCTCTTAGTGGTTGCATTTCTTCAGAGGGGCCCACGTTCCCACGCGCCAAAGGGCAGAGAGTCCTTGGCAAGTGATTAAGTCAGTGCTGGTGCACACAGCATCTTCCACTCTTGGAGAAGCACAGAGCCAACCAGGTCTCAGCAAAGGACATTTTGACAAAGCCCAGTGGAGTCCTTTGATTTTTTTTTTTTTTTCCTTTCCTGTAGTGAAGGGAGGTGAGATTTAGGGAAGAGGGGAGTAAATGAGAGCCCCTTAAGGCAGGTGCATCCCAAACTGCTAGTGACCTTGCTAGTTAGCACTGCGGCACTCAACATGGAGTCAGGGAGAGCCATTCGAATCCAAGCATCGCTTCCATGACACGGAAATGTAAAGCTTTTTCTACTGGAGAGGTGGCCCTGCTTGGCAAAGGCGCTTCACGGGTCTGGTTAAATTGCCTACGTGACTCTCCCACCTCATGTCTTAATCTGCTCCCACCATGAGGAGAACTCCTAAGCAAGGCCTCCCTGTGTGGGGGCAGTGGGGCACCCTTAGAGTCAGTTAGGCTCCTCAGAAATTTCCAGAGCCCTTATACAAGGCTCACAGGGGAATCTAAACTTCCTTTAAACTTCGCTGCCCCGACCGTGCTGCGCCTAGGTTTGTAAGGGACTGGGGTGGGCCGGTGGAGGAGCAGAGAGGAAGCCTCCTGGGAGCCTCTGCTATTGTTCTGCCCGCTGGGGGGCTTGCATTCATTCATTCTTTGTATTTTAAAAAGAGTTCACACCCAGCCCCAGGGTTGGGAACAGAGAAGCCAATTGAGCCTTCTAAATGGCTGAGAGCAGAAGCCCACCTCACGGCAAAGGTTGTAAAGTTATTACAGATGGGAATTGCAGGACAATTTAAAATATTGTAATTATAAACTTGTAGGGAAGCCTTGTTCTTCATTAATGTAAGCTATGAAATCGCCTCTGAGGTACAAGGACAATTACATAGTTGAGAATGTGTCTGCGATTTACACTGCCGCTGTGTAAATGTAAGGGCGGTTGCTCTGGTCTACCTCCTTCACTTTCACAAAATGAAAAGCACACCAGTGCAAGTTGTCCTTTGATAGATTTTTAATATGATTTTAAAGAGTTTTGTTTGGTCTCATTCTTATTCAATGAGATTAATTTAAAGCACTTATCCCCTGGGCTTAAGTCAATCCATGTAGGATTTCGGCTGGGTTTGTTGCATGGGGGGTTTTGTTTGCAGGAGGCTATGAGAGACTCCTTTCCCACTTCATTAACCCTGAGTTGGGGACAGTCTCCCCTCGCCCCCCACCACAGCCAGAGCTGGGGATTTACCAACCCCCATTCACATGCAAAAGAACTTGAAAGCCGAGAGGCTCCTTGACTTAATTAGCTGCTGTGCATTTTGCAAAATTAGAATAATACCCTCACCATCCCAGGAAAGAAAAGCAGTGGGGGGGGGGGGCAGGAAACTGTAGCAGGGTCTGTTTGGTGGGGTAGTTTAAATATGCCCTCCACCCCTCCCCCCAGGAGGCAGCCCTCTCCCACAGCAATCCTGCCACAAAACTGGAGGGGGTTCAGCTTGCGGGGCCCCAAAACTTCCCAGCCCTGGGCCTGTCTTCTGCCCTGAGAGTCCAAGCTGCAGGTGGTGTGTGGGAGGGGAGCACCTGCGCCCACCTCCCCTGAGGGACCAGCCTCAGGAGGAGACCGTGGCCCTTTGAACATGAACTGGAGGCCTCCAGTCTGGCTGGAGCCTTAAACCCCCCTCCCCTGAGATCCTGGAGCTGCAGGCTGGGGCATGGGGCCTACGTGGGGATTTGGCTCCCCTCTGGGTCTCATCTACGTACTCCCGGGGTAAAGGGGGCAAGTGAGAAGATGCGGGATTGGGGGGTTACCGATGTGGTGTCAGGCTCCCAGCGAAGGCTCGTCGGGATCCTGGCAGCACGGGGCCGGAGCCGCCTTAGGGCCCGGGAGCGTCCGGGAGTCCGAGCGCGGCCGGGGCGCGGGGCGGAGGGGGCTGGCGGGGGGAGTAGCCTCGGAGCCCATCTGTCGGCCCCGCGCCCAGCGGGCCGGTCACCAGCTGCCGGCGCCCTTGTTGCGGCCAGATGAGCCGGCTCAGCGAGGGCACCACAGCCCGGCCCGCAGCGGAGAGAGCCCAGGCGCTGACCCCCGCTCCGGCCCCCGGGACCGGCTGGGAGCAGCAAGGAACCAGATGGAGAAGGGGGGGCGGGTTGGGGAGAGCAGCGAGCTCGCCTCACTGTAGAGACAGGAAGACTGAGGCCGGGGAGGGGAGGCCCCTGCCCGTGGACCCCAGCGAGTCCAATGGGGGCCCCTGCCCCCGACTACAGCGCCAAGGAAGAGAGGTGGACAAAAATATTTCCTTATTGAGGATGGAAGGAGGCCGAGTCCCAGGAGGGGAAAATGGATCTTAAGGAGGGGTGGGAAAGAAGGGCTGAGCGCGGACAGGCGCGAGGTCATTTGTAAGAAGTTTATTTCGACATTTAAAAAAGAGAACCCGAGGGCCTGGCTGCCCCCGGCAGAGGCTGGAGGTGGCGGCTGGGGGTCGGGGTGGTGGGCAAGCCCCCTTGACCCCTTCCTGCCTCGCCTGGGAGGGAAGAGGGCACAGGCCACAGACTCATTGATTCACGGACACGGTCACGGGCTCATGGGCCACAAATAAATAACTTCATATACACTTTGCACACCTTATGTACAGCTCTGCCGCCGCCCGGGCGCTCGGAGGAGGGCTGCACACTCCCCACCGCCTGTCGGGGTGCGGGGAGAGGGCTGGGTGTACAGATGGAGCATGGAGAGGGGGAGCGGGAACGAGTGCAGCGTCGGGGTCGCCCCCCACCTGCTCCCAAGGAGGTGCAGGGGGGCGCCTTGGGGAGCTGGCGAGGGGTCCGGGGCGGGGGGCTGTATGTACATCCTGCGGGTGGAAGTGGCTCCCTGATGGCGTGGCCGGGACGGAGCCCGCCGAGGGGGGTTAGGGAGACTCAGTCCGGGTCCGAGCCTCAGTAAACTTGGCATAGGGCCCTTCGGGGGACGCTGGCTGGGACTCCAGGGAGGGCCGGCCAGGGGCCCCCGGGGAAGG